TATATATTTTGATATTCATATAGTTTTTAAAGTATATAATTAAATCAATATATAGACATAAATGTTAATTCTGCAAGGTGTGCTATAAAATTACAATTTATAAACATTATATTATTTATGAAAATCAAATAAAATAACTGAATATTCAAACAAGATATTAAATTTATTTATAATACCATATTATAAAGTTCCTATATATTATTTTAATATTTCATTTTTATAATGAAAGTTTATATTTTAAGAGGCAGTTTACCACTTAAAATTTCAAATAAATTCAAAATTGTTAACGCTGTGTTGAAACTTAAAACCATTATATTTATATTTCTTTAATAAATTATAATGTTGGGTACATATTTCTTGAGTTTTTTTGAGTAATAAATAATAATATTATTATTCATTGCAAAAATGTCATTTAAAATTTGATTAGATAGGTGTTTTTTAGATAGTTAACATTTATAAAGCTGTCGTAATAATTTGATTAAAATTTTTAAGTTTTAAAATATATTTGTTATATTATTAAATAAATTAATTAACTGTTGACTGGCTAGGTTATTATTAGGGTAGGACATACAAATTATTTTTCAACGAGTTTTTTGATACGTTACAATATTATTTATAATTCCATGTAAAATTGTAAAAACCGAGTATTATGTATTTTTTCGGAGGGGCTTTTGTGATATTGTTGTTTCTCTTTATATACAAATTACTCAATCAATTTTTTCACAGCATGTTTATATGATTTTTTTTTTCTGTTACTATGCAGCATGTTTGAGTTAAATACTTAAACAATAGTAAAGAATCAAAAAAAACAAAATAACTAAAATACTAAATAGGAAATAAAATAACAATTATTATTTTTTTTTTTTTTACTAAAACTGTATTTGTAGCTCTGTAATTATAATTATTTATTAATTATTTTATATATTTGAGCATCGCACGAGAAAGAAGGTAGTATATAATACAGCTATACTCGAAATTTAAATGAAATTTTTTTGATTACTTATATTAGGTACATTTTTGTGATTTATAATACATAATATAGATGATATTATATGATTTTAATTTTATTACTGAAAATTGATTTAAGTATTTTGTGATTCAAATTAATTTTTTTTATTTGCTTTTTAATTTTGAAATTTTCTTATAAGCCATATTAGCAAGATAGTTGTTTATACGTTTCCTTATGTGTTGTAATGTGTAGTTGTTGCAAAACGCGCCTAAGAAAACGAAATGATTACGTACCGGTGTCATCCAATGGACAATATTATAGACCTGTTGACTACTGCTGAATTTTATTTTAAATTTAAATTAAGTTTTTAATTTAAATTGATTGATATGTATTATATACTTAATAATTATTATAAAATGGTTATTATTTCAATAAAAATTATCGATTTAAAATAAATATTGAATATTAATTAAAAAATACTTGGATGTATATATATATATATATATATATATATATATATATATATATACATTTTTCAAATTTTAAATTTATTCAGTATGTGAGTATTATTTTCCAACAATCAAAAATAATGCTTAAAAAATAAAATAAGATAATATAAATCAGTTTTATATGTACGCGTTTTTTTAATGTTTTGGCGGCGTTTTGTTGTATTAAAATAAAGAGATTCTTATGGAAAAAGTTTTAATATTACTTTTGATTTCTTAGAAGATTTTTAATGATTTTTTTCAATAGCCAAAAACATTTTTAAATGATTACAAGTCCTCATATTATAACACAACTATTATAACAACAGAGTAAATAAATTATTCATTCATACCACATATAGTATTGAAGATGTATGAATAAATGCACAGCGAGAGGCCCAGCAATTTTCACAAGACCGTACGATTTAAAAGATACGAAGAGCCATCAGACTCCCTGGCGGCTTGTTGTGTCGCATAAATTTCGAATAAATCTTTGTCCGTACAATACACTGTATACTGTTGTATTCCGCATGACCCTTTTCCCTTTCCCGTAAACACACAAATGCTTCTTTCCGATGATCACAACATTGCCCTGTCTTAAGTGAATGTCAGCCTACCCACCGTACATTACAACCACCCATCCAGTCCATTGCAAGCCAACGGCAATTCATCTCTACAAAAAAGCTTTCGATGATGAACTCCTTTCGACCTTTTTTTTTATTATTTATATATATTCACTGTATATACACAAGTTTTGTTCTGAAGTAAAGTAACTGTTTCGAGTGATTTTTATTTTCTACTTAGGTAGATATTTTTTTTTATTTATTTATTAGCTATGCTATATTTTTGTACTATATGTAAGAATTTGTTTTTGTTTCACTATATTAAGCTCCGTTTAATTTACACAAGTATTATTGAAGGAAAAAAAAAAAAATAAAAAAATATTGTAACTACTTATTGACTTAGTTCTTGTAAGTTCATTAATTTATTTTTACCAATATTATAACATTATAACACTACCGCATTAAATTAACTATTATTATACGAAATTATATTTATCATTGTTCATCGATTAAATAAATATTAATAAAAATAATAAACAGGTGATCTTCGTTAAATTATAAGTACAAAAATAAATTATTCATTTTTATTGTGTCAAGTATAGATTTACTATCATTTTAATCATAATATTATTTAATATGACAATAGTCGATATTATAAAACATATATTATAGCTATCAAAAAATCTTATACACTATATGTTTAAATCAAATAAATATACATATTAACTATTAAGTATACCTGAGAATAATAAGTATGCGCACTTATTATTAGACGTGTATAATCAGCATTCCATTTTTTTTTTTTTTTTTTAACTCAAAATCCAATTAATTTAACCATTTTAGAATTTTTTTTTTTTCATTTATTACAAGTAGTAAATTTTATTATAATTTTTTAAATAGTTAAACATCAAAAAAACATCACACCTATAACGGTTATCTAATAAAAACCGACAAATCTAATAAATATGCATTCTTTTTGATTTGAATTTAAATTATTTAATACGCATAGAGTAAATAATATGATGTATCTTAATTTTTAAACATATTAACGAATATAGTGACATAAAGTTATTTTTGCACTATACAATATGGATAAAGAAAAATATCACGTTAATTGTCATTTAGATTAGTACACTAATTGTATCACAATTGTTATGTCATTTGTCACATCACCTGTCTTGTCACCTGTCTAATTTTGTATGCGTCACGTCCCGTTTAAGTTAAGAATGTGTAAAACAAAATAAATCTTTAGAAAATTCAAAACGTTTCGATACTATTAGAGATAAAGATACACGATCATTATATAAACTTATTATTTAACTATATACCTGAGTTTTTCTATATCATATTGAAGTATAACTACGGTAAAAGTTGTTTAATTTTAAAGTATTGAAAAATTTATAAAATTAGAAAAGGTTTACAACTTTAAAAAACTGTTAATTATTTTAGAGCTTAGTTAATAATGTCTAGTCTTACAATGTGTGTGTTTTTTGATTTGTATCTGACGTTAAGTTTTGAATAAAGACTTCGTTTTGGTTATTGTAGAGAGGGATAAACTGATGGTCAATTTGAAAAAATAAATACTATTATTTATTGATAATAGCTATAGATTGTAGGATATACAAACTACATAGCTATATACATTTTTTTTTTTTTTTAATTGACAACTTATAACATATTCACCTATTCATAACCAACAACAAAAATAATCAATTTGCGATTACAATAATGTCATTACTGTGACAGAACGGCACGATAAACAATACAATACTAGACTGTCGAGTGATATATAATATAATGACTTCGATATTCTAGGAAAAATTAATCTAATATATCAACTGAATAGAGAAATTAATATCACTAGATTACTGATAGATACTATGACATTTTTAATACTGTAATATAAAATATAATTTTAAACATAATATTATTATATTAACATAATTTGTTCTTAAAAATGTAAAATGATTCAAACTGCCTTCCTCACAACAAATTTCTTTTTTTTTTTTTACACAGAAAGATTACACCATTGAGTTAAATTTAACACATCTATTATTTTATAGTAAGCTACTCAATTACCAGGCAACTTCACTATAATCGAAACTTATTATAAAGCAGAGCGAGTACTTTGGTATTTTTAAATTACAGTTTATCTTATCTTTACTTTTTATTTAGAGAGATATGCATAGCTACATTTAAATATTTAATGCGTTTATATTAAGTATATTAGAATAATAAGAGTTTAACTTTTAAAATGGTTTAGTCAATAAACTCCTAACAAAAAAAATATATATTATGAAGGTACATACGTGTATACAATCATATTAAGAATACTAAAAAGAATTAAATATTCTTTAATTAAGTATTTTTATTTTTATTTAATTAAAATATTTTGTACAAAAAGTATTTTATTGTATTTCATAATTAACGAATGTATAGCGTCCTAGTAAAAATACAATATCATCATGGATTATTATGGGAGTTTTAGTTGGGTATAATATGGGTTGTTCAAAGTTGACTTTGAAAATCAAAGCTTAAGTAGCTATGGTATATTTTTGTTATATTCAGTGTTTAATTATGTTTTTAAAAAATATAGTGTATTTTAAAGTCATAAAATGTATTCTTGGATATTTACTTATTTTTTTTTTTTTTTGATTGAATATGTTCTTAATTGAGTGGATATTTTCGAATTTATTAGGTACTTTATATATTCACTGTCGAAAAAAAAACTCTTTGTCAAATTGTGTATATATTAAAATATATTTACTAGACATATAAATATCTAATTTTTATTTTGTTAGGTATTCAATAATTGTTCAAAAATTTTATTTTTATTTTATTTGTAACTTCTAAATTAAAAACAAATATTATAATTTCAATAGTCTCCAGTTTCTTGTTTAAAATATTTTATCAATGTTTGTCATATTATAGTTTTAATTTGTTTAAATAATTTTTTTTTTTTTTCAGTGAATGAAGTTCAGTTCTTATAAGTTATTCAATTTATGTTAAGACCAAGATTCTTCAATGAAAATAAAATGGTAAGCAAACGAATTTTCAATTATTTCACAAGATAAGTATAGGTATTTCATTCATAGTTATTATTAAAACAAATTTTATTAAAATCTCATAATATGGACATTGTTATTAGTTATTAGGTAGGTACTTAATTAAATTAAGTTCTTTGATTTAAAAAAAAAAAAAATTATTTTGAATATTTTTAACTTTAAAGTTACATAATACGAATAGAGAGCGTTATTATTACTACTTACATAAAAAAAAGTCAAATATTCTTTCTTATACGTATGTATATACACAGGTCTAAGATACAGAAATTAGCATAACTCGGATCGTGATTTATAAATGTATAATTATTATTGGATAAACCTAAATATAATAATTATTTCGATCAGAAAAACGATTCTGTGTGGGTATCAGGTTAAATGATGTTCCCTTATAAGATTATAAAGAAATTTCTAGTAGGTGCAGTTTAACTCAAATACATTTCATATTTTACAACTATTGATTAAATATAATGATTATTCTTATTTGTTAATAATTAAACAAAATAAAATTAATGTAAACTATAGTAAATTATATATTATTAAAACATTGATTTATAAAAATAATTTTGGCTAATATTATTATGCCAAGATCTTCATAAATTCATTTTCGGCTCTATACTTTTATAAAAAAAAAAAAAAATATATAAAAACCTCCTGTTAAGAAAAATTATTTATTTATTTATTTTTTTTTTTTTTGATCAACAAAATTTCAATCTTCTAGAAATACTACAAAAAACTTCATTCAAAATAAAAAAAATATACTTATTTGGTTTTTTTATAAAATTTATAAATTATTTAACAACAGCTAATAATATGTATGAAGATATCTACAATTGAATGCAGTAGATATTATATAAGAGTATACATTAGACATTAAAATATGATGACACACCAAACAAATAAATGTTTGTATATATTAAATATATTAAATATAAAATATAAATATTATAATCATGTCTACATGATACATTCTATGTCAAAAAATTGTTTATATATTTTTATAAAATAGTTTTTAAATCAATGACGTGAAATTAGGTATACGAGTATATTTGTCGATTTATTGCATAGCATACCTATTCAAAAGTATGTGCATTAAACAATATAATAATTATAGTGCATTATTTTTTGCATTTAATTATAAGCCAACATTTCATAACATTTATTTGTTTTAAACAGTAATTAGTTAATAGGTATAATGATAACAACAATGTTAAAATTAAAAAAAAAAATAATAAAATAATATTGTTATCATTTAATTTTTTTCTCGTTAAATTATTAATTATATGTTACATATTTTAAAATTTTAAATATAGTTGAAATAATACCACATAGTATAATAATTCACAAAAATCTATTTTATAATATATTAAAGTGTTTGCACTAAAGTTATTTTCTAAACATTATTGCTACACTAAATATTTTTGATATGAATTCTGATAAATGATGATGATAATATTGTAAGTCAATGGTTCTTATTCAATTTTATTTAGTTTAATTATTCATTAGATTGAGTTTGAATTAATACTGAAACTATTTTGAAGCAAGTATGGATTACCTAAAACATATTTTACTATACTAAAAATCATCACATAAAATAAAATAAATAAATAATAATAAAAATGTGTTATCATAATATATTAAATATATATTAGAATTTAGAATACATTATTTATTCATACATTTGCGAAAAATGGCCGATTGATAGTGACGTCTGGTGTTGCTTTTAACTTCAATCGATTAGTATTGTTCATTTTCATTGACATTAACAACAGTCGTTTAAACTTTATGTCCATCCCAGTCCAATTACAGCTGTATAATCCAAAGTTTACATCTTCTTTCTACCATAAACCATTACCGTAATTATAACAAACCATTTATAATGCCGTTTTGTTTGAACACTCGCTTACTTTGCTATTGATAAGTTCGAATAAATAACAAAAGATAAACACTTCAATCGTGACATTTGATACCGTCATAACTATTTTCATTATTTCAGCAATAATGTATGATTCTTTAGAGTGAAAGATCTATGTACAAAAATAGGTACATTATACTCAGAAAATATTTTCTGATTTTGACAAAGTATGTATAATTCTTGTAGAAAAAATGTTGATCAAATATTTGTTTACATTACCGTTACGATTACATATGAATACATAATTAAGGAGCATGAATAAGCAAAGACGTGAATGAGAGTAATGGGTCGCACGACATCATAAAATGATTTCATTTTTCTAAAAAAGTAACAATACCATTGTATTTACCAACACAAACACGTAATATGCAATACATTGTTTAAAACCATTTTAATTTTAAAGCAAGTATTAAGGACTTATGAGTAGATGTGTATAGGTACATTATTTATTATGAAAAATTTACTATCTATTATATGTATATATATATATGTGTGTGTGTGTGTGTGTGTAATATACTCTCTCTCTTTATCTGTGTGTATGTGTATGTGTGTGTGTATGTGTCTAGACAGAAGTTTAGTACATTTTAAATTTGCATATATATTTTATTTAAGTTCAGAAAATATATATAGAAAATGGTACTTACAAATAAACGTTTTGATGATCAATTATAATTGACTTGAAATCTTTATAAATTTCTAAAGTAAAAATAAAAAAATAACCATCCATTTTTGTTATATTTATACACAATAATGATTTATTCACCTTTTGGAGAACTTAATTGATTATTATGTCCGAATATTGCAAACGCTTTAGTGACTGATTGATATCGCGCAGAAATAATCCAACAAAATGACATCAAAAAAGCGTCTACTAAAACTGAACCATAAACAATACAAAAACCTACAGCCACTTCCATCAAATAAAACACAAAGTAGTAATCGTTATAGGTCTTCACCGTCACTGGAAACTTTATGTTGATAATATTTTGATATCGATGATTAACGTTGGAAGCAGTGTATTCTTCATTAGCGATAAAAGGTCCCATAACCCATAAAACTAGTCCTATGAGAAAAGAACAAGCTATCCACTTTGTGATTCTAGTTGACGTTTTACAACGTTTCACAAATTTTTCCGTTATCAATTCGCTATGTTGAGAACATTTTAAAAAGTCTATACATGTAAGGTCGAAAAGATCCCAGATTATTTTGGTATTTGATATGAGGGTATACATTTTTAACGATGATAGAGAACAATTTGTTAGGATAATAATTAATTCGAAAGAATTAGATTTACTATTGCTAGCATCAATATCTTCTATCTCTACAAAGAATCCTATCACCCCAAAAATCACAATAAATTGGACAATCAAGAGAAATATTTTGAGAACTGTTCTGTAAAAATGACATCCATAAAAATGTGGTCCTTTTGGGTCTAACAGTTGATAAAAGCCTAATTGCTTATATGTCGATAAGTTAAGAGCCACTGGTCTACCGTTGAAATTATTCTTCGAGTTCATATTGTAGAATCGATGAAGTCAACTAAACATACCAATTTAGAAATTAAATTAAATGAGATAAAAATAATGTTAGCTAATCTAACAGTTTTTTTTTTTAAATCAAATATTATTCTTATTAATTATTACATTACTTACTATTTCTAATTATACAGAAAAATTCTTTGAATTTTTCATTAGCATATACATATATTATTAACACAAATCCTGTGCAAATAAAAAACATTTTTATCATTAATATTATTATTATAAATCGATATTTTAATATAAATACAAATTAATCAATATACACAAAGACATTTATTTTTACGTTTTTTTTTTTTTTTTTTTTTTTTATCATAAATAATCATTATAGCCAGGTATTTCGATATGGATTATGAAAATGAGTAAAAAACTATTTTAATGTATTTATACTATGAGATTAGGTGTACTATATAATTAAGGTAGGTGTATTAAAAACTTAAAAATTACTTTTGGTAAGTAATAGGTATCTAACTAGGCTACTAGCTAAATCTATAAATTATATAAATATTTACTCACTTTTCTTACACACATCTTTTATCAAACAACGGATGTCTGCTTATGAGTTTCAAAATGTATAGAAAATTATAAATATATTGATAAACTAAATAAATCGCTAAAATATAATTAATAGCTGTACCTTCTTTATAATTTGGAAGTAGCTATGTCATTAAACAAAAATAATGATATAGGTAATTAATACCTAAAATAAAAGGATTCTAGTCAAACTTAATAACATAGTCAAGCTTAATAACCTTTAATAACCTTTAGCTAATCCAATTAATCCAAACCTATGAGTCAATAAATAAATAGTAAGAAATACTAAGATTTTTTAAGAAAACCAACAGTTATTATAACCCTAACTATAAATTATTTCACTATAATATTCTTTTATACCTAAAGGAATATATAATTTAATTGGTCTTAAATAACATATTATACAATATGCTATATATATATATACACATTATCCACTACACCTTTTGTAGATGGTCAATATAAAGTTATTAAACTTTATGCTATTTCTATTAATATTATTTACTGGCACAGTTTTATTGCCATTTACATATTACATATTATAATGAATCAAATAATCAAATAATTGCAGGTAAATGCATTTAATCTACTATTGAACAATAAACGACCAATTATAGGGTTAAATAAAAATATATTTAATTAATTTTCATGGCATTGTAATTGTTTATTTTTTGCGTTTAATATGTATATTAAATATTTTGCTAGTGTCATTACAACAGACAACAACTAATATGCTAATATTAGCTGATAATATATTTTATTAATATTCAAAATTACAAACAAATTGTTTAGTAACACAAGAAAAGTTTATTGTATCGCTTATATAATTTGGATTGTTTAAATATGAAAAAAATTAAATGTATTTAACAGTAAAATAAAAATAATGCCGAGTACTTGGATTTAATAAAAGTAATAAAAATAGTCACAAATATTTTTTGAAAAATTAAAATTATTTATCATTTTTGAATACTAAGTTGCAACTACGATAATCATTTGCAGAACTTTAGTTGTTTAAATACCAATATAATATTCCAACCTTATCTATAATAATGAAATTAATTTTTATGCTTACAAAATATCAGTTTAATGTTACAGAAAAAAATCATTAAGTTTATAGAAGATTGAATACTATAGCCACCTGTATATATGAATAAGTCAACAAAATATTATCGTGATAATTACCATGATATTTTTTTCCGTTATATTATACAAGCAAGACGAATGCCTTATATCAATTTGATTAACTTTATTAAAAATAAATGTTGAAAAAACATGTACTTTCCTGTGGGTTATTTTTTATCGGTATGTTTTATCACAGTCGTTAAAAACAAGGATGAGATTTCGCTTGCGTGTATACCTACAAAATATAGCCGAGTTCTACACTCGGGAATTGATGTCAGGACGAACGATTGTCGATTTGTGCTCCTGTTGTTAAGAGTATTACTCAAGGCAAGAGGCGATCTGCTATAATACAATTTCTGTTTAACCACTAGAGACTAGACAGTTATGATATATCAATTATTGGTATTTCAAATTAAACTTGTTAACATTTATATTTAGGTATAGTTTGGATGATACTATTAAGACTACGATTCATTTCTAATCATAATCACATCCATATCACTTTCTTCATCGGTTATACAAATGTTATTTATCTAGTCAAATAATGACTACAATATAAGTAATATCTAGATACCCTACGAGATATTTTTTTGGTGTGAATAATACCTAATGAAATATTATGCCCATCACGTGTATTAAAAATAATTTACACTGGCGATAATATATGTAAATCTGGTACTAAAGTATTTACAAAATACAAAACTAAAGTTTCTACAAGTAGGTGGTTTATTAAATCAAATAATTGCGTAGGTACAATTATTATATTTAAACCAAACAGAATTTTTATTTTCGTCTTATGTGTAAATAATACAAATTATAATGATTATACTAATTTACAATAAATTACGTGTATTGGTTGTTTCTATGAGAAAATTTTATTTAAACAAATTTTTTTCCAATTATTTTTTATGTACATATTTATGAAAGAGGATGGAAGAAAAACAATTTTAAGCTTTTCAAATTAATCAGAAAATAGTAATACAATTTAGTAATTTTATTCTAAATAGTTTATCTCCACTCAGAATCATTTTTCTTCTGCAATGATTTATCAATGAATTCAAGTTTAATACATTAATTACAGTGATATACTATGTAATTATAAAGTTACACTCATTATAGAAACTTACTCTTTAAACATTAGAACTGCAGACTGCTACCTATGGTTTTCACACATTGAAATTAAACCAAAATTAGACATTCATTTATGCGTAGTTTTAAGATTTTATTTTGAATGTTAATGAATATTTTTATATGATAAAAATAAAACATATTTTTTATCGTTGTTTCCATTGAATAAACTTTAATTATTTAGTGTTGTGTTGATGATTGATTATATAGGTAAATGGTATATTTAGCTATTTATAATCAAATTTCAGAAAATATATTAACACAAAAATAAATTAAATAAAAAATTTGAATTTTTAAGAAAAATGTTTAAAAAGTTTAACAACGATAATGTAATTAAGCAATGGATAAAATATTAATTTATAAATTCAATTCTAGATATTAAGTTTTAGGATTATATATTTAAATTATCAATATTAACTTTGAATTGAATTTAACTTATATATATTTATAATTTTTTTTTGTCAACATCAAAGTTAACACTTAATATTATTATAAATTTATGATTGTTAAATTAATTTAAAATTCATGAAAATATCACATTTTTGAAAATTTATCTCAAGTAATTATATTTAAAACCGTTTTATAATTCCTTCAGGGATTAGTATAATTAATAATGTGTTTTAAGTTTTTAAAACGTTAACAAAAATGAAATATAAAAAAATAAAATTTTTATTTTATTTTTTCTATTCAGTATAATATTTAATCGAATTCCAATTTGTATTCAAATTTTGTTAACGTTATTGTAGTAAACAGCTTATTTTAAAAATTTAGGTGTTTAAAAATGTCCATAAAATATTTTTTAAATGTACTTTTAAGTTTCCCTCCAAAAACTATCTTGTATGTCTCTTTTCCTATCTATAGATTATAATATTATATTTACGAATTTAAGTATTGAAAAAGTATTCTTTTTCCACATTAAAATAATTTATTATTATTATTTATTGCCTAAACTATTCCCCATTGTAGTCAGTTTTTATGTGTTTTTTTTTTTTGGAAATTTGGTATCCAGTTTATTTAAAATTTTAAAAATGTAATTTATCTCTGTGTTTTAATATACCTATTTTCAGACTGCGAAAGAGAGTTTTGAGTTCAACACAACCATGATAAGACCGAAGTCCAAGCACACCATTAGACATATCTTAGAATTGCCGTCCAGCTTGCCACCATCTAAACGTCCTGCTGCTAAACCTCCAGATTCGTCTTGGACGAAACGAAGAAAACTAATACTTCCTCCAGTAAATAAACAGGTAGGTGATCAATACAATGTTTTCATAATATATTATATGCTGCCATCTAGCGTTTAAGAAAAAATATTACTGTAGCAGAATGCTGTTTATTGGAGAGCAAGTGTTTCGTGGAAAATAAAAATATTGATTTTTTTCACGATGCAACTTATAGCGACATCTATGTACAGAGAAAAAATCTTAAGTTTAGCAGTATTTACAATCTAGAGAGCAGCACACTGTTAGCTTTTAAATAATAATTTTGAGGTACAAAGCTACGTTAGACGCTAAGGTTGAAACATAAAACGAGTTTATGTCAATCGGTCTCTGTACAAATTTTTTCCTGTGCTTTTGGTCGCATTGTTAATTAATTTGGTCGCGACATAAGTTTATCATATGGTACGGTAAGTTAATAAATGATAGGTAACACACCTTGTAAAGAAACACGATTTATTGGTTTAAGAACTTTATTACATACTCGTAGGAACAATTAATATTGTACCTACGTTTATGTTGTCTATAAAAATGGTGTAAAGAAGATTCCGATTTGCTATTGAAATACAAATATTTAACACTTTAGCATTTATCTAGTTGTATTTTTTGTTAGATATTTTGAACAGCTAATAGACATTCCATTTTATCCAGAACTAGTATTTGATCTATCGTGATCACTTTACTATTTTGATTAAAAACATGGGTTTGTACAAAGGACAAAAACGGTATAATTTTTTTATTGTAATTTTTAATTGCTATGCTAATGAATATAATCTTTCAAAGATCAATGATTGGATAGAGGAATGGTTTAATAGGTTTTTATTTTGAACTTTATTCACCCAAATGTTTGGAAATTTGTAAATGGGGTTAGGATGTTTATATGCTAAAAATGTATGAATATCTATACATTTGTGCACTAAAAAATAATTAAATATGTATGAAAAATTTGAAAAATACACATAAAAAATAAAAAATTGTGAACAAATGCAATAAATATATTAAGACAAATTTAATTATTAATAGAATATAAACCAATGGATTGGTACTATTAATATTATATACTCGTTATTATTTACTACATTTTTTAATTTTCCTATTTACTATATAAGATAAAATAAAATATAAACAAAAATACATTTTAAAAAAAGTTGCATTGAATAATTAATGTTTTATTTTTTTAAATAATTCGTTGTAAATTTTTGTCAATTTGGTGTTAATATGTTTTTGAATTTATTAGAATTTGTAAAATACATTGCAAGATACAGTTAATCAAACTTATATTAGATTTAGTTAATAAAATATAAAATAACAGTATTTTTCTGAATATTGTTTGAAAGCCGTCAAATATGTGCTTAAAAGCAGAAAAAATACAAATTATGCACTTATAAAAAAAAAAAAAAAAAAAAAAAATGATAAAATTAACTGCAATTACCTATATACAAAATAAAATTTTGATATTTTGAATATAGATACTATGAAACACATTTCTTCATAGAAATGGAAGCTATTGGACAACCTAAAAAAAATATGCAAAATCATAAACATCCTAACCCTATTTATAAGTCTCTTGGAAAAATAAGAAATGCTTGAATCTTTTAAAAATGATTCAATATTTTATTGGAGAAGAAATCTCTGAAAACTGGAATTAAAAAAATAATACAGTTGAAATAATAAACAAAATATGTCAATCATTCAATATAAAATTCTATTTTTGATAGGTATGTGTCGAGTACAGCTCATAAATTACAAACTTTATTTTCACTTTTAAGACTTAAAGTAGGTACCTACCAACTAGTGTTTTTTTTTTTTTGAAATTTTTAAGTACAAAAATATGATATATTTTTCGGAAATTAAATTACTGTAAAAAATACTAAAATTGTTTGTTTAAATAAATGAAAAAAAAATACTAAAAATGATTACATTCTATAATAAATATATTTATTTTTCATGAATTTAAGAAAAAAAAATATATATATAAATAGTTATCTAGATCTCATAGAGAATAATTTTTTCTAAATATAATTTTTGTTATCTTGACTCGACATTGCTACTAAATATTATATGCAACGAATAAAAAATAAACACTATAAATCAAAAATATGCCTTTGTGTTAAATATGAAAAAAAAAATAATAATATGTAAAATAAAATTGATGTTATTTGAACAAAAACGATTTAAATCATGTGCATTTCTTATCAGAGTTAGTTCAAATAGCTTATTCTAATAACTAATAATATTATGTGAAATTTTATAAAAAAATTTCACGCCATGTTTATTTAATTTGATTTACATAAACTATAAACATCTTGAGACAGAGTGATTTTCCAATAATTTTTAAACTTTCTGTGTTTGCATTCATTTTGTGAATTCACCCGAAGCGTTTATTTTATTTTTTCGCCCTACCGGAATTGGATGAATCTGTCGTGGGATTCCGCGCCCCAATACGCGTCTTTCAAATGGGCATGGCGTGAAGTCGACCGTGAAATTTATGGCGTTGTCCGGGAAATAAGTCTGCTCGTAGAAAAACAGGTTAAATGTTTTGTAATCTCTATAAAAATCGAATTTATCTAACCGGCTGTAGTGTTTTGGAGAACGATAAGATAGAAAAACAGGAAACCAGAACAAAATAAAAAAAAAGAAACGTAACAAACGACAAAAACCAAGCATATCAATAAAACTCAACTGCAATACAGACCAATAGAGAAGGGAGTTTTTTTTTATATAAATGTGTCGCCTACGAAGTTAATAATTTATCAGGTTCTATACGCTCAAATTGATATTCATTGATGTAGCTTCGAAAATAAACATAATCCAAACATATTTATATGGGCAATAAATATATGATAGAACCAATAATAATTATTAGACAAGTATCTACTAGGTACATAACATTTCAACAAAAAATTGTGTTAAAAGAATATATTTTTACATGTATCTCTAAAGTGTTAACGTATGCTTTTATATTATAATATAATATAGTGAATTTTAATATGTGAAGTAGTCCTTACCTATATCCTAAAAATGTATATTTCTGTATTTATTATAACTATAAAAAAATATGTCGTAATAAATTATAATATAGTGTATCAAAAATAAAATGTTATCAATTAAATTGTATACTTAACTATAATGTATAAATATCCCTAATTAATATCTGCAGAAAATACAATATTTATATTTTCATCGAGAAACAAGAAATACTCAAGTGTTATAGTTAAAGAATTAATTTTGATAACCTGTTGTTTACTTTAAGGGTTCTTAAGTACTTTTACGGGTCGAACTTTACGGAACAAAATATATCGAACACCCTCTCTCCTTTAGGACCTAATATGTTCTCGCGTTTGTAATTAAAGACCGTTTTTGAGAGGTCCGGTAGCCGTTATGTTGCGGACCCACGGTGCTTGTGGTCACCAAAATGCTGATTACACTGGAAACCCGTACAGCTGTACCATACTATGGCGTAAAACCTTTATCAAGTCCGGCAGACCAAGAAACCGCAGCTTCCAAGGGTGTCCCCCAACCCTCCAAAGCTGTTTTCCTTATTCCGTTACTTATCGTCACCTATAGTAAGTTCCGGTATAATCCAATATCATCCAAAACAGAAACTTTAAAGTGAATTACGCTAAAATTCACCGAATGCGTTTTTTCCTTATTCATTTTGCACAGAGCTCATACATATATATATATAACACGTTTCTTACAGTTTCTCGCTTAATAAAGATCATACGATATAAGATATATATATATATATATATATATATATATTAATATAGCATGTGCATAACAGTTTTAATCTCCAGAGAATTTCCGACTGTACCATAATTAAGGAATCAGACTGTGCAAAAGTTGGTCGATTCACATTCTGAAATATATGCATTTTGCTGATATAACTGTGAATAATTAGACACCCTCGTTTTCTTAAGAAAGGGAGTAGAAAATTCATGTAAACTATACTGTTGGATTGTAAATTCCATTAAATGCCTCTTATATGCCTAACAATTATTTCAACTTTGAAATCACCTTTTACAATGTTAAAAAATGTTATATAATATACTAAGTATAACGTGTTCATTGAATTCGCGTGCACACGTTATTAATTAACATATAATGATAATAATAAACGATAATATACTTTATCTTTGATCAATGTCTCTAATAATATACCATATTTACGTTTTATAAATAAATAAATAAAAACAAAATTATTCAACACATCACATATTCTAAATTGACTGAATTGTTGTTGACAAATTTAATACTAGGACTTGTTAAATTTGTCCACATAATATTAAAATCATGGTGAGTCATAAATTATATACCTTATTATTTTAGGACATGGCTTATTGTACACCAAAAAAAAAAAAAAAACTCATCGTGCGCTTAAACATAAAAATTAAAATATCAAGATAACATGTTTTAAATACGATATTGACATATAATATTTTTCCAAATAAAAATGCTGACTATGAATAATGATTGACCTAATGAAAATATAAAATGATTTTCAGCAAAATTGGGCATACACATTTTGGCACCTTAGTCATCAATATTTAGTTAATTAAATTTGTTGAAAAAGCCTACTATATTACTAAAATAGTAGTAGTATAAAAATATTTAATAAATTATTTCTTTTAAAAATTAAGTCCTTAATACCTCAATACTCAATATTTTATTTTTAAACTATTTTCAAAATAATAACACAATAGCATAGTTAAATGTATTTATTTTTTTTTAAATAATTTAAATATCATGTATAAAAAAATAAACTTCATATGATTTGCTTTTAATAATAATAAACAAAAATAATTGTAGTTTTGGATAAGTAAACATATTGAATGATTATTCATCAATTCATCATATTAACCATTTGTATAACCACAAAATTTCAACTCAGATATCCTCAAAAGTCAAAGTGTTAGAACAATGAAGTATATGAGACATTTGTTACTGGCTGCAGCAAATGATTAACTTAGAACTCGTCATTTGGACTAGCTATGGTCTAACAAGAGTTATTAGAAATCATTTAACAC